TACAAATTTTTAAAACATTCATCCCACATTTTTACAGGCTTTTGGCCTAATATGAGGGCCAAATTTTAATAAAAAAAAAAAACTAATTATGCAAGTAAACAAAACTGATGACTTTAACATTGCGACAAAATGCACTAATTCCCTAGCCTTCTGTATTTCAGTTGATTCATTCCTATACAGTTCAAACTTCCAGAAGTTTAAAATTGCGGATCCAAAAGCTCAAAGCTTCAAAGCTGAAGTGAACTCCAAAGGTAGGCCTTGCTCTCGTTTGTTTGATCTATGTGAACTTGTTCAACTGCGGCTCTGGATTCCATGTTTTCTCTCAGTCAGCAGCAGTCTCGAGAGAACACCAACTGCGAATTTTTGACGGTATTCTTCATTCGATATTGAACGCAAATCGAATCGAAATTTCATTTTGAGATCACGTCGTTCGACAGCGAGTGTGTTTCGTCAATTTAAATTAAATTGTAGAGAGAACAGCTGTCATTTTGTCGATGACGAAAGGCGCAATTTGGGCCCAGGTATTTACAAAAATTCTTGGGGTATCAACCGATGGCGTTCTGACTCTTTGCTAAAAGAAATCGGCTTTGGTAATATTTTTAATCTAAATATCCTATCTTTTCCAAGCAGTATTTTATTTCTTACGCCCACTAGGCCCCTAAGCTAGGACAGGCCTGACAAGTTTCCAGCTTAATTACAGCCACACGCTGCTAGTCCGCCTCTTGTCACTCTTTGTTTGTCTACTTTTACTTTCCGACTTGCGGCTGTAATAACCTTGCAAGACTCGGTTCGGTGGCAAAATGTGGAGTCGTTATGAGCGCGAATTGGCGACGTAGCAGCAGCTATGTCATTCAATAGCCCTCAGCTGTGGCAGCATGATTGCTGTAATTACCTACTGCTGTGCTACCTTTGAATTGCATTCGGATGCGGAATACTAATAGAAATTGTGTTAAGGCAACAAATTGCAATGAACTTGCAAGGCAATGCTAAGCGGCACTACAACAAAGGCACTGGCATCTGATTCTCAACTTTTGTTTATTTCATTCACTTAAATAGTTTGCATTTACAACAACTTCAAGGCAAATCGTGAACGCTTTTAACGCCAAAAAAATTGCACTTAAATTTGCAAATGCACTAAATATTTCCGTGTGTTTATGTATCAATTTCAAGCGCAAAATTACGCTCTTTACCAGTCGATTTACTTAATGTGATTTTATTTATTTAAAAATGGTAATTTTCATTTCTGCTGTATGTAGCTACGAGTGCATACACACATCCATATGTATATATACATATATATCCAAGGCCTTCAGACCAGTAATTTTCAGCACTAAACATAGCATTTGTCTGTGCAACTGTACGCCTCCTTTAAAAGCCACCTTCGTCGACGCAACGCACCACAGTTTGCACGGAGCCATTCAAATACTGTGTAGTTAGCAATCATGTTAGCGACGTTCTCAGCGGCTGCTGTGCCAATTTGGTCACCGCCACCGCCGAATACCGGCTGCCGCAAATATCTACTAAAATAACCAAAATATTCACATTAAACAAGTATTAGAAAAATCACCCTTGCAACTTTGTGATAAGCTGTTGAAAAATTTTAGCTGAGCAAACGCATTCAATCGTTTAACTGCAGCTAATAGTGACACAAGTGTACGAATTGCGTTTGTTCTCAGAGTGGAAAATTACCGTGGCATTTAATTAAAATTAAATTTAATACTGAAATTAATTTTATAAAAATGTTTCGTGCCTCTTTTATGTTGCTATTGTTGTGCTGTTTTTGTTGTATTCTAGGCAAAGGTGATATAGACATAATCGTAATAATACAGCAAGTGTTCTTTATAAAAATTAAATATTTTTTCTTAGCTAAGCTTTGGTTTTTCGAACAAGAAACTATCGAATTTTTAATACGAAATGGAAATTTTGATTTGAATCCGCTGCATTGTCGCCTGCTGCACACAGATGTTTGCCCACACAAATACCTGGCATTTCGCCTGTACACAGAGTGAGTGTTGTTATACATACATACATATGTAGTTACTTGCAGTAGTGCTAAAATCAAAAGACTTAAGCAACGAACTTGTTTGTGAAATTTAATTTTTCATATTTTGACATCTTAACGGCGCTTATAACAAGCGTGCTTCTGTTACTTATTTTCTCCATGTGCGCTACATCTTAAACTAAGAATTTTATTGCGTAACCTTTTAAAGTACCTTGAATATTTGTCCCTCAAATTGGATTTATGAAATCAGGTATGGTGAATGATGGCCAAATCAACAATTTTTAGAATTTTTCTCTGTCTGTCAGTCTGTATGTTTGTACGCGCATCACTCGAAGACTAATGCATCGAATTAAATTTAGTTTTCACCGATATATTTCCAGAGGTCTAACTTCAAATATAGAAAGAAAAAATTAAAGAGTTGCCACCTGTTTGAAAATTACAGTTTATTTAAATTGATAAGGTAAAGTAAATGGTGCAACACGGCTGCCAGAAAAAAGGAGGTTTACGAAGGCTTACAGCCGAAAATATTTTTATGGAAGGTTGCCACCTGTTTGAAAATTTTAATTGAATTTAATTGATAAGATAAATTTGAAAATTAGCAATATGGGTATCAAACTGAAGCGGTTTAGAAAACTTTACTGCCAAAAATATTTTTTTTATGAGGGTGCCACCTGTTTGAAAATTTTTATTCAATCAATTGGATAAAATAAATTAAATATTACAATACGGGTATCAAACGCGTAAAATTCCGTATTTTTCCCAAAAAGTGGCGCTCTCACAGAGCTCATAATACATGTAAGTGTTCGAAATATTTTTTTAAGCAAAATTCGTTGTAGTTACATTCAGCTTTTCGCGTGCCCCTCGCTAGCAATGTGAGCTGTTATTAGTTTTTAGAATTAGATAAATCTCCTTCTACGTTTCACTCTAGCAATATGTTTTTTTTTTTCTTTTACCTATCCTCCAAAATAGTCAATGTAAAACCTTAACTCAACTAAACCTCCTGTCGCCATAAGTATATAGCTTCTTTCTCGGTATAACTGCTAAGTGTTGCATTGGTAGGGTGTTGGTACATTCCAGTTTCAGTTCGCTGGCAGTTGGATCAACCCGGAACTATCCTATCAATTAGAGGTATCCAAAATATTGCACTCTAGTAACATTCGTCGCGCTGCCTCAGCTGTTAATATAACTCAGTACATTACGATAAGTACTTCATCTGGACGTAGTTGTGTGCTTTATTTGTTTTTCTGTTGTAGGCGAATGTATGTAGTGTCTATGTGCATCGAATCGTGTGGGTGTACTAAAACATGTCTGACGTCTTACTGAAGACTTATTTTATCTTCACAGCTCTTGCAGATCAGGCTTTTCGTGTTGTACATTTCAGGTCCGATCCGAAGTAGTTGTGGCCTAGAAACCCTTGAACTAAGTGGACATTTATTTCGCCATGGGCTCGTGGTACCCAGTTTTTAATGTTCGGGATCAGTTGGTGTGCCCAGATTTCTCCCATTTCTTCTGCCACAAGTCTAGCCTATTACCAGTGCAACGTTTTTGATACTGTACGATTATACAACCGACTATACACCTCACTGTTCAATATTTGTGTGCCCTATCGCAGAATTGAGAACCATAGATCGAAACAGTCTGCAACTTTTCTTGGTCCCACGGAGATTTAACATAGGTATGTCTAATTCCCTATGGTGAAACAGATGTGCGCTTCAAGAGCATAACTTATTTGTCGTCTCGTTATCTGATATTGTGTGTACTACAGCCCAGATTCTACACCAAATACCTCAAAAATTGTCGCAGTCGCTCAGAGTGTAAGCTTGGAAAACGCACGGTGTTCTAGCGAGAAAATTATGTTTCAGTAGTTTTCGCAGATCTTTAACTGGAATAAAATTTGTTTTTTAGTTAGTATTGGATTTGGACTAATCGACTAGTCTTGTCTGCGTGGCGGTGCTTTCCAGAAAGTTAGCTACCAAAGGCTCGTAGCAGCGCTAGATGCATACACATTGCGAACAAAAATTACATTTAAATAAATTTTTCTTAGACCAAATTTAGTATATACTTTCCAACGAGAAGTTCAGACAGATTTTCCAATCACAATTATTTCTTTTTATAATACGCACTTAAAAGACGGGCTTGATTGCCAACATGACCGTGAAATAAAATCTTGAGTATGAAAAAGCAGTAAAACGTAGACGCATATTAAGTATAAAGGCTTTCCAGCCGAAAGTGCAAGTTAGAAATGTGCAAAAAGAGACAACATTCCGTTATGGCACACAATTGAGTTTTATTGCGCTTCCAGATTTCGTTTCGAATTGCTGCGATTAAACGAATGGAGCTGAGCTGAGCTGAGTATGAACTTGACCGCCGTCGTCGAAAAAAGTGTCACCCACAAAAGGAACAACAACACATCTTATATGAAACCTGCTTCCTACTCTCAAGCGCATCCGTCCTCCACTCACAACCTGGCACGCGCTTGAGCCAATTAGCGAGCAACACACACACCAAGCGACACACCGCCAAGCAACAGTGTAGCCACTCAAGAGCGCAGGAAGCCAAGTGTAACGCGCCAAAAAAAACGCGCTTTCCAATGAGCAAGTGATAGTAATGAATGGGAACAACGAATGTTGTTGCGCGCCGCCGCATGTTGCACATTGTTGCAGTGCAGTGCGATACAATTGAATTCGCGGCCATTCATTCGGTGGCGCGCTTTTAAACGTAACGCAAGCCAGCTGAGCGCTCTACGGACGACCAAGTAAGCGGACGTTGCACGTGCAGTACCGCAGTGAAAAGTGAGCGATGTGTCGGCAGCGATCGGTGCAATGAAAGTTGGAATGCTGCCAAGAAGGATTAAAATTCAATGCTGCCCAAAGCATCCCATACGGAGCTAAAATGTGAAATGCAAAGTGAGAGTGCGAAATGTGAAATGCAAAATGCGAAATCATATGTGATGTTAAAAAAATTTTAAGAAAATATCTCAATGCATAAGAAAGCAAATCGAAAATATTTTTCAATTTAAGTAAAATTTTGCCATAAGCAGTAGGAAAACAAATTAAGCAATGAAACTATCACTGCTCGCCCTGCTGTTCGTCTGTCTTGTACGCAAAGGTAGCGTGCGAAATTAAAATGCATTTTAAATTTTCCAAACAACTAACTAGTTATTGATTTACTTGCCCTTGCAGAAGCGCCTGCTATTCTTTTCAATCAAATGGATGTGAAGAGTTTCGTCAACAGTGGCGTCCTGGATTTGAATGTTTTGCGTTGTTTTCTGCATAATAAAAATGTTTGCCCGAGTCCATATATAATGTACCGATTATTTGCGCCGTAAGTGTTAAAAGTGTTTATTGATTTAAAAAAATAAAAATAAAAATATGCCTCAATATTTTGTATTTGGAAATTATGAGTTCAAGTGTAAATATGTATATTAGCCAAGTCTTCTCAACACAATTTACTCAGCGTACGTAAATCCCAGTACATTAAATAAAATACAAAAATTACGAGACCTCTTCTTGCTGAGGTATAAGAAGCCACAAATCCAATACTTTGATATGATTCAAAAAGACTTTACCCTTCATGGCTTTGAACTTCCAGTAGTGGTCTTCCTTTTTCAGGATGTCTAAAAATTACTAATCACCTTCCTGATGAGCTCATTGTTAATGGTATACCCGCCACTGTGCGTAATATCCGTATACCCGAATCCGGGAAGTGACATAAAACGTGTTGTTAGTTTCTTTCTCTTTTCATATTTTTGTAACTAAATATGATAACACCGTGCAACAGTAAATTTTGCACAAAAAAATTTTATATATTCGCGAAAACTATATTTTTATTTTTTCTCTCTGACGTCAGAATTTTTGTTTTTAAGACTTTGAAATTTGAAAAATATAATTATTTAAAAAAATTATTAAAAAGCTTAAGTGCAATTTAAAACAACAGTATGACTATCAAATTAAAGAGAAAATTCTGTAGAATTAAGGCCGATTAAATTTTGCGTCGATTAGTTATTGAAAATGTCCTTTTAACATTTTATCATTGCATTTTATTGAAATTTTACAATAATTATTTTTGAAAAAATTATATGTTAAGGACTATAATGCACATCCTCAAATTTCGTCATTCTAACTTTATTCGCTTAAAAAATAAAACTAATTAAAAGATCATTCTCAACACCTAGTAGTCCTTGTGAACCAAAAAATCTTTAAGGTTTTTAATTCTACAGAACTTTCGCTTTCATTTGGTACCCATACCATACATTGGAATAAATTTTTTAAATAATTTTTGGAATTAATCATATCTTTGAAACTAAAAAGTCCTTTTCAAAAATCCTGACATCAGAGAGAACAACTAAAACGCAGTTTTTCTATATTTGGCAATAAGAATGCTTCGTGTGTTTCGAAATTTTTTTGTTTTTGTTGCACGGTGTAATAATGGCCTGGGGTATGCACCTTTCTACTTACGGTGGATAAACCGATTATGCAGTGACCCTTAAGAACCCTCATAAGAGAGTGGATGCTTTTTCTGTTTAAACTTAAGAGTAACGATGTGCGTTTTCCCCCCTATGAAGTCCAGATAATCCTAGAGATTTCGTGAACGACAGCTCATGGATGCCTAACACTTTCGAGTAATAGACTATACGATACAGTGGTCGAGGATGTGAAAATACTTCTATGGTCATAGTTCAGGTAGGGATCTGCTCTTCCGTCTTACTTGGAAGTTTAGAGCCATCTGTATAATAGAGTACGGCATTAGGCTTATCGAAAGCAAGCGAGAATTCGAATGATTAACAAGGTAGTCCACGATGTGCCTAAGAGAGCTTAAAAACCCAAGGTTTCGCCGATACCTTAACCTGCTTCCTTAGGTCTTACTGCAGTAAAACGCTCACCTCTCGAACGCACATTAGTACAAAGTGACTAATTACGACGACAAAAATTGAAAAACAAAATTCTTTAAATCTTAAGGTATTGGCCCAATGCAGGCTTGCTTTGCTTGCCTCGCTTTGAGAACTGTCAGAAGTTATTTGGAATATACTAAAACGTATGAAGGCTGGCCAAATGGCAGCTTTGCTTCACTTGCTTTAAGCGCCTCAAAGTTTCAAATAGGCAAATGTTTTATTTGAAAGCGCTTTGTAGGCTTTTGACAAAAAGGTATGTTCCCGTTCTAAATGAATTCAAACTGTTGCGTTCTTTTATGAACAAAAATTTTCTTACGTAATTAAAAAAAAAATAATATAAATTATTCAGAGTTTAATAAAAGTGATTATATGTTTCCATATTTACATTTAACATATCGCTGACTGAAAAGTTGCTAAGTGTATTTTTCAAATTTTACAGGAACTTTGAATACAACATTTTGCGTGTTTAAAGCAAAGCAAAACTCCATACGAATCAAAAGGATTCGATCTTTATTAAATTCGTATTATTTTGGCCTTATCGGATTTTCGGGGCCTCTTCTGGACTTAGAAAATTTGCCTTCCATTGAATATAAATGAGAAAAAATAAAACAAGTACCTTTATCCTTAATTTCTCTTGCTTCCTATATCACGAGGTTTCACAGATTGTGGACTTAGCAACTTTTCACACAAAGCTAGCGATATTTATGATGTCAAACTACTGGCCAGTCGTCTCTTGAAATATTGGATTTTTTGTTTTTGTTTTTAATAAATGTACTTATAGCTATATATGTAATAATTATTATCATTCCTTTGAAATGAAAAAATTAATTCGCATCAATTTAAAAATAAATCAGAAAAGATTGCTTGTATTTTTTTTTAGTATTCTGGAATTTCGTGGGAAAATTATTCTTAGTGTAAGGGAACAGACCTTAATTTTTTAACTACACAGCTGGTAGCTTTAACAGCGTTCCAAGCCGCCATTTGGCCAAACGAGTTTTTGAAGTAAATCAAAGCAAATTAAAGTAAGTAAGGCGAGCAAAGCAAGCCTGCATTGGGCCAGCGCCTTTATCACAAATATATTTATAATACTTTTTATAAACCAGTCCACAACGTCACATACAAATTTTGACATTTAACGCAACGTAGTAGCTTTAGCAGGAGCCCTAAGTTGGGTTTTCTATCGTGCGTGGAATTAAACATTTTTTTGTTTGAAGCGGTGATAAAATAATTTCGCTTGCTCTTTATTCTTATTATTAAATAGCAAAATGGATAGCGAAGCGTATTTTTTATTTAAAAAATTTTTCAATTTTTATATTAACGAGAGTTATAAAAAAAGTTCCAAAGAGTACAGCAACCTCTCTTCAATAGTTCGAAGATCCAATAAATCGCCTATACTGGGACAATTTGACTGATTTCAATGACAATTCGTACATAGGGATATTCGAGATCACTGATTACGAATATCATATTGAGTTTTCGAAACTCAAAATGGCAGGCGGACGAATTAAAAAAAAAACTATATATTCTTATGAAAGTTGGAATCCAGGTGTTTTTAAGGTACCTGACTACGAAATTTATATTATATTTGCAAAATTCAAAATGGCGGAAAATGTTTCTCATACGTCATGCCGCACAATATATTGTCTGTCGTCTTTCCTGCTCATACATTTATCATCCAAAAAATTATTTGTCATTTTCATTTGCCTATTCACCATTCTTTTATTTACATATATTTTATATGTTCTTCGTTTTACAAATTTTTTTTTGTTTTTAATTTTTTCCTTGTTAAAGTTTGAATATTTTCATAAAATATTCACACTAAATATCTTAAAATTTTGACGCGATACGGATTTTCTGAAAATGTTTTCGTAATCTAGAGAGCAAAATTAAGTTTAAGTGTTTGGCCGACTAGCTGAGATATTTTTTCCTCCCTATTGTGACTAAATAGGTCATTTTGGAAATCATAGAATAGAACAGAAAAGAATTTTGGAAATCAAATATTAAATTCGTAATCAGTGACTCTGAGAGTTGTTGGTCATTCCGCGCTTACAATCCACAATTATTTGAAAAAAGTCGTCCGCCATAATGGATTCGCCATTTTGAATTTTGAAAATTTAATACCCGTTTCGAAATTAGCGACGACGAATGCCCCTGGATACAAAATTTCATAACAGTCAATAATTTTTTTAAAATAGTCGTCCGCCAACTTCCATTGAAATATGTCAAATACAAATGGAGTAAACATTTTTTGTCGTCCTATATTCGATTGCGATTAGATTTGAGACCAGATCCTAAGTGAAGAATTTGCTAGAGCTGTATGTATATATTTTGGTTTTCTATCGCTTGATGCCGGTTGCACTCTTCGATGGCGCTATGCACTAAAGGAATTTGAAATTTTTTTTATTCTTCGAACTTAGGCGGGTCTGCCACTCGTACATTTGCACTAGAGCAAAAGAGGTTCCAACCTGCGGCTGGCTTAGTTCTCATTAAGCCTGTCTGGCAAGCGTCTCATACAAATGTCAATTCTTTTGCTTTTTTAATCGACTGATAGCCACGTCGGTAGCCACCTGTCTAATTGTTTTTCATATCCAATTGTTGATGTAATGCGAGTTCGGCATGGTCGCTTGGTCTCCTTTTCATCTCCCGTATTTTATTTCAGTGCTTAAGAGAAACCTTCCGTTGCATGATCGGAACGTGGTTCAAATGCATCTGAAACGGTAAAGAGTTCTTTAAAGAAGCCAGAAAAATAGAGAGTACCTATGGCTCTTTCAGCTCTGTTAGTGCAATCGATTTATTCAAAGTTTAAATTTAATTACTTTTTTAATTAATATACCCATTTATATATATAAATACTATATTTAACCACCAAATAAAGGAGATGCCATGCCATGCCATGCCATGCATGTGAGTCAGTAAAAGTTTTCCATTTAACACAAATCGCAACGTGTTTATGGAATAATTTATTTTTATACGCAAACAGTGTCAGTGTGTCATGATGAGAAGCGCGACAAACTTGCATTGGCAAGCATAAAAGCAAAAACAAAGCCAAGCAAAACGTGAAAATAAAAGCGATGTAGCATTTGGAAAGGATTGGCCTACGCTAGCCAAAATGAAAAGGCCAGCTGAACGACCGGTTCCGACCTGGTGTTGACAACGGTAGCGAGCTTGAATTAAACGCTCAACGCAAATAATAAATACTTGAACACACACCACTGTAATATCGTATAGTATTTTAAAAAAATTAGCTACATTCAGTTAGTGGCTGATCACCAGCCACACTCGCAGCTCCAAGTGGCAACGAACAATTTCGGTGGCAGCATCGATAGATAGAATTGGCCGACAAATGAAATACTCAACATCCCACCACATAATTCCTGTATGGGGCTGTGACTGCCTCATCTGGCCTGAACTGTAACTGATTCACTTTGGTAAG